GCAAGAAAAATCCTTGTTATATTTGCGATTTTTGCGATATTTGCGGACATTTCGGGGCCCCTCTTGGCTTCTTTGCTTTCTAAGTCAGGAATTTTGTTACATTTGTTATTTTTGCGATTTTTGCGATATTTGTCATGGGCGTTTGTAGCTAGCAAGAAAAATCCTTGTTATATTTGCGATTTTTGCGGACATTTCGGGGCCCTCCTTGGCTTCTTCTTTTTCTAAGTCTTGTCTCTTGTTAGATTTGTTATTTTTGCGATATTTGTCATGGGTGTTTGTAGCTAGGAAGAAAAATCCTTGTTATATTTGCGATTTTTGCGATATTTGCGGACATTTCGGGGCCCTTCTTTGGCGTCTTTTTTTTCTAAGTCTTCATTCTTGTTAGATTTGTTATTCTTGCGATTTTTGCGATATTTGTTAGTGATTTTCTGACATAATTTTTTCTTAATTATTTCTTTTGCGACAATTGCGAAAAACAGTTGCTAGCAAATTTTTGCTAACAAGATCGATCCTGGACATATCTCAATCTGTTTGTCCTGTTAAGTGGCAACTCATCCATAACTGAGTTTGACCAAAATGTGTCCAGCAACTTCAGCGCTTGAGCTATCTAAACACTTCCCACGCAGCGCTTATTACGCATCATCAGACGCTTCTGTAATAATGAAACCCGATTATGTTTTGGTCCGAAAATAACATGCAATGATGAAAATTAACCACGGCTCAAACCACACAGTTAACAAGGTGAGTATTACTCTTATTGAGCGAACAAATCAGATACTAGACGGGATAACAAGATCATATGACGCATAATTTAGCAAACGCGCAGAGATTGGTCACGCTGGCTTGTCACATTCCACGGTAAGTACTATACTTTGTATAGTCGCAGCCTTTACGCGCTATAGTTTTTAACACAAACTTTATTCTAGAACTTCTACAACTGGTGCAGGGAAACAAGTGAACCGATGTGAAGTATAACAAAGTATAGCGAAGTATACTGAAGTACAGCGGTAAAGACGATAGCGAGATAAGGACGAAAAACTAGGACGAGCAAAACCCAAACATTAAACTGTAAACCGGACCAAGCGCAGCTAAACGAAGAACTGACGCGAAAAATTACAATAAAAGCTAAATATACGATATGCAGAAAAATCCTAACACGAAGGA